TCAAATTTCACAAGAGCACTGAACGATAAACACGATAGACTTATTTTTTGAATAAGGACGTTCGTAATTTCTTAAACACGTACAACTAAGCTGGTGTTAGCAGCTTATCTGTACAGCTGAAAACTTCTTGAAGGGCAGTAAAGTTTCTAGCCATACAGATAAGCTGAAAACACCAGCCAGTACACTCGCGAGGATTTAAAAAATCGAAAGTGCTCTGGTGCTAAGCACTAGGAATTATCTTAGCGCATAGCAGGCACCATAAAAAATACAGATTTAAAACTTCAAAAAAATTAAATGTATGAAACAAAAAGAGAAAAATTAAACTCAAAGGTTGCTCAAAAGGTTCGCGACAATTAATATACAGAACACGTATTAAAATTACATTAGGGCTGCGTGCACAGGTAAACACGGGTGTTCGCTGCGTGCACGGGTGACCTTTTTGGGTCCCCACAGGTGTTGGCTGTGGGCACGGGGTTTGAGAACAAAAAAAAACGTAAAAAAATTCAAATTTAGAAAGTCGTGCGCGCAGCCAACGTCCGCGTAGACACCCGTGGGCAGAGTCAACGCCCGTATCCGAATTTTGTGCACCAACACCCGTGTTTTTCCGTGCACGCAGCATCGACCTAAAATATTTCAAAGCTTTCTGCTTTGTCAACTTTTGTACACGGTACAACTGTCGTAGAGTGGTGCAATTCATGTTTCGGAGAAGCATTAGTAAATGCTCTGAATCATTACCCATATTTAAAATTCCGTTAAAAGGCTGAAATAAAATACGAAAAAAATCATTCACCACTGCACCTTCAACACGCGGTGGCGCAATGCGGTAGGCGAATTTAAATCGTTTCGGCGAGGTACTTTGAACCAAAAACCTAAAGGATGGTGAAGTATGTATAATACTGCAGAAACACTAGAGTAGAAATCAAGCGAAGCCAGTGAGCGTTTTTCCAGCAAAAATTATTCTAAAATTCCTTGAGAAATAGTAAATGTAGTAAAGGTTAAAAGTCAGGAATGATGTATCATGGAGAAAGCCCAAAGAACAAAGCCGACGCTTGCAATTGTTTTTAATTTTTAATTGCTATAAATTCCATATACGTAAAATGCTAAATCAGAGCATAATTCCTTTCGGGCACATAACTTTTTTGAGCACACCATTTATGAATAATTAAAGGAGTAAATACAAATTTGTACATGTATGTACTCTGTATTCTGCAACATTTGCGCCCACCATGGGAAATACGGTGAACTTACTCCTATATTTCAAACGAAGATTTTAGACTGAGTAAATAAAGTATAGTAAAGATCTCCAGATATTCATTCGCGCGGGGCGGGAAGCCAACAAACGGTTTTATTGCAAAAATCGCTAGAGTATGTATGCAGCTAAATATGGTTTTTTCTTTCAGTGTTTTGCAAAACCAGCTTTCGCATTATCAGAATAACAGTACTCCACATCTTTATTTTTTTAAAGTACGCACTTCTTCAAAAATTCCTGATTGTGAGTGGGGCGTGCGTCCGTGCCACCCTTTCTAAATTCGCCATTGCTACAGTGGGGGCGCAATAAAAAAACTGTATAAGCTGAATGAAGTAGCACCACGGAGTCTGGCGTAGGGAAAAAAGCATGTACTGGTAGTCGGGTACAGTATGTTGCTAGATACAGTAGTAGTTACCGACAGTAGGAATCCAGCGGTCGGGCGTGCTAGTAAGTAATGTTTCTAGTATTTACAGTACCCTGAGTACAGTAATCACATGGCTTGCATTAATGTGCGTTGTAAACTTGTACAAAACATCGAAACGCATGCAATGCCATGCACATATTCCTGTGTAGCAAAAATCTAATTATTTTTCGTGCATCCTGATATTTCATCATACAGCGATGGGAGCACCCCCCGGCCCCCAGGGGCCAAACAAATTTCAGGGAAGGTAAAAAAAAAATTATACCATCAAGCAATGCTGTCATCCAGCGTACTTACTACTTACTTACCACATCGCACCCACTGTCATGCAAGTACGGTACGGTTGCACTTTACTATGGTTGCTATGTAGCGTACGATGCGCAGTACAGCACCTCAGTACGAAACTCCTGCGCATAGCCACTTCGAACAAATTTACACTATGGTAATAACTTCGGTGACTCCGATTTAATTTAGGCTCACTTTGATTGCAACACCGGCTGCGCTTGTTTTCGCTGAACATGGAGCCCAATTGTTTTAGGACGTCCCGGCGAGTAGAGTTAATTCCTGTCCACAGCCTTAAGGGATTTGGTCTGGTACATGGTATCAAATTCGTGTACAACGCGAAAACTTAGTTTCGTGCACTCCAAACACGTTTTTGTTTTGTTTTATGACATTTTATAGCCAGATGATATGTATAAACTGCCGGAAAACCGTTTGTGCGCGCAACATCCGGTTCGGGAATTATGGCTGTTAGAAAATTCCAAAAAGTTGTAATGCATCTCGGTGTACCAGAAGTCTCGTTATCGTGCTATCTTCTCTAAAATTTGGATACAAATGCACATACCGGTATCCAAGAAGGTCGTTTTTACACCGAACCAAACTTTTAAAATTCATTTTAAAATTAAAAAAAATGGTGCCACTCTGGTTCGGTGTAAAAACGATCTTCATTTGGTTGATAATGAGACTTTTGGTACTCCTGAATGCATTTAAACTTTTTGGAATTTTCTAACAGCCATAACTCCCGAAACCGAATTTTGCGCCCATAAACGGTCATTACGCCTGTATATACAAATCATTTGTCTTCAGAATGTCAAAAAGCAAAGGAACGGTTTCGAATTGCGCGAAAGTTAAAGATTGTACACGAATTTGGTACCATGTGCAGCCCTACACCATGTACCGGGCCAAATCACTTAACGGCGTTATAACGCGTGCCGGCTAAAATGTTAACGGCGTTATAGCATGTGCCAGGCTAGAATGTTAATAGAACAAACACACGCTAGCTGTATGCTTCAGCCGCTCTTACGAGAATGCCGGACATTTAAAACGATGGGTATTTAACATAAGGTTTCCAGCAATTCGGTCATTTTGCGGTAACTCGTTGACGCGGCCAGTAGACGTTTTTGCGTTGCGTTAACTTAAAAATATATATTTCAGAAAAATATTATACTACACCACTACGTCGAGAGAAAAATTAATATTGTCTTGCTAATTAATTTATAAAGTTTTAAAGTCGAAAATTTTATGCTTAAATTCACTAAGCGCTGTGAGTAGTGTTCAATGCTTACGCACTTAGTGCTCAAGCTCAAGATCGTCCGGAAGCGGGAATGTTAACGTTACATACATACCGGTAGTAATGTTAGCGCTACAAGCGCTTATTAGATGCGATAGTAATCCATACAAATTTACTGTCAGCGGCACTACACTAGAGTCTGGCGTGAGTCGTAATTTTGTATTTTTCCTTATTTCAGTTTATGTTCAATTGTAGTCTCGCTTGCACAGGTTAAAGTTACTCGTATTTTAACTCAGTGCAGATCGCAGACTAAGTATACAGAATAAAGAAAATACAAAGTACGAGTAGCCTGATACGTAGAAAGTATAAGCCTTAGCAGAAAAATTAACGCGTCATATAAGCGTTTGTACAAGCTTTTAATGAGAGCGGTTTAGGGAGAATTCGATTATGATAATTTAGCAGAATTCGATTATCGTGCAATTACAGCGTGAACATCCCATGGCCCGGCTCGCGTGTTAACGGCGTTAACAAAAAACTTTACCTCCTGTAAAATCGCTTTTCCTTGTTTAACAAACAGCAAGCGCAAAAGAAATCCACTTTTGGAAATCAAAACCTATTCTGTTTTAAATGTGACTATAACACAACCGCTTTATGAAAAACTGCAAAATTAATGTCTCAAATTTTCAAATAACGTGCTCTTGAAAATAACATACAATTTCGTCAGCAATTTCAAAACTTAAGTATATAGGCTCAGCCGCGCAGTCATATTTATTTATGCTATTACAGTATTACTGTACATTACGGTGCCGCACCGAATTGTGCCACATTAATTTAGGCGAACAAGATCAGTATTGTCACTGCTTAAGAACAGCCAATTCGTACGGGACTTCAGACAGGGTCTAAATGTGATTTGAACTTGATTTTAGTCTATGATTCGTGAACTGCGATTATTTTGCTACATAGACTGAGCGAACAGCTTGCATTATTTTGGTCGTTAACATTTGGGCCCGGTGGGAATGTTAACGTTAACATTCTAGCTCGGCTCACATGTTAATGCGTTAACCGTTAACGTGTTAACTCTTTTGCCGGCTACATACGTGCGTACGTACAACCTTTATACGAGTGCGTAAATACACTACATCGGGATGGACCACCAGCACTGGTCCGAATTGAAATACAATTATCAATGTCTGGTTGAAGAATTACCGCTAATTTCCCCGAAGAATCACCGAATCTTATTCGTATTAATTGTAACCATTCACCAGAGGGAACTTGCCAAGTTTTCTCTGTTTTCCGGCAACATCCAGCAACGCTTGTCACGAAGCTTATAATACGTCTAAGAATGATGTACGCTTATTCGAGTGAATAAACATTAATTGTCAAAAAAAAACATCAAAAAAACTGATATCAGCTCCTCAGGCTTAACAAATGTTTCGTACGAGTACTAAAGAAAGCAGACACTGCAGGGACAACAAAAATATATGTTAAGGTAAGGCACAGTACAGTGATCATTGCAGTTACCGACTTACCAGATTCCAGAATGCAGGTTTTTGAGATTTCAGTATTATTATGAGCACACTTATTTGCATGAGACAAATTTTGAACAGGCAGAACAGCATTTCCTCGGCGTTCCCGGACAGTAGCCGGGATCGGCTTGCAGAATACGGCAGTGTGCACTGCAGTCCTGGCGTGCTCGACAGTTAGTGGCGCCACATCCGCGGAAACCGCTTGTCAGCCGAGACCGTACTCTAAGACTTTTACCTAGTTAGTTAGGTTTGTGTTTATCCTGTAGACAGTACAGTATCTTGCTTGTACAACAGGCGATCGTGCTCGAACGACAGAAACAGCATCCCCTCTCTCTCGCTCAACTAAAGAAAGCCGAACAGCCGGCGGACGCTGAGCTCAAGCGGAAAGCGCCGTTGCGTGTCGTTGAATACCATCTGGCGTTGCCGTTGGAACTGCTGAAGGAGATCTTCCACTCCCTGGACACCGTCGACCGCGTGCGTTGCCGCCGCACCTGTCGACTGTGGGCTGAGCTCCTCACCGCGCCAGACATGTGCAGCGAGGTGTGTTATGTAGCCATTCATTATATGATCATGCCTATGCCACGCTCATGAAAATTAATTGTCTGTCTAACCACTGTGCCACATAATATGTGTCGTTAGCATATGCATATACATTGAGCTGTTGTATTCGCTACATCATCCTTCGTTCTAACTACGATACATTCGCGTTAACATGTGTACATAACAAAGCCCACGTTACAGGTGCGTGTAGCGCGACGGCAGTACGGCTTGTGGGATAACTACGTCCTGTACGCCGGCCTCGCCAAGAACATCACGCCTGGGATCCGCAGCATCTCGGTTCGCGAAAGCGGCAAGTGCGGCAACGAAGTGTTCTACGTCGTCAAGCGTCTCTTGAAAGACGCCCGTATCCGCCTGCACCGCTTCATCGTGCAGCGGCCACCGACCAGCCTCGCTGACCCATCCCCGGCTGCGTGGAAAACAGTCCTGGACACGCTGTCCGTCAAGGTCACCGCGGGCCTGCTGCAGTCCCGGCTGGTGTCGTACTGCGAGCGGGTGATTGTCAAGGATTTCGTCCTCACCGTGTCGATTGTTATGGAGTCCCGCATTCCCTCGGTCGTCTTCGCCGGGGGGCAAGTCGATAAATGGGAAGTTGTGGAGCTGTTGGAGAAGCATGTGCGCAGTCAGGGGCCGCCGGTGGATGTGCAGCAAATAGCCCATTTCATGGCCCATCGGGGTGACAGCAAAGCGAAGGCCCGATTAGTGAGAACGGTATTGAGCCAGTTATCTGCATTTTGATGATAATGGGGCTTAAGCTGCTGAATGATTTGCTGATTCTGCACACCTACCAAGCCAGCGACCCGCGTCCCGCGACGCAGCATCGGGAACACCGCTGGTCGTTGTACAATGTGGCCGGCGTGGACGTCGGCCAGCTGAACCGGTTCTGTCTGTGCGCCTTGTCGCGCTGCATGGAGAGATGGAGTGACGATGGCAGTGCATCTAGTGATTCCGCTGAATACGAGTTTGAGTGACACGCGTTTATGGGCGGGCCATGTGTTGAGGTTACTCATAATGGTAGACAAAAGAAGCAGATTTGCGCTCATGCCGCCGCTCACGTCGTCAACTAAAAGCTCTGCGTGCGTTGTCGTCCTTCGTTTTGTTGGTTTTCGGATCTGAACGACTGAGCCCTAGTTGTTTTGGGGATTTGTTGTTTGGTGGTTTTGTTGTTTTTGGAAGCCTTGGTTGTTTTGTTGTGTGCAGTGGGATGGATATGATTTAGCAACCATAGTTCTCTTATCGCTCTTTGTTTTGTTCACTACTGTGCTGTTTAATAAAACCTTGAAGGTTTCTAAGTCAGTAAGTCATATGCTTACCAGTTACCGCATCACGACGCAGTGACCTGGCATAGTCTATGCCAGGTCACTGCGGCGTGATTCAGAGACGACGTGCCTCTTTGTTGGTTACTAAGCCGCACTGACGTTTATTTCACTCCGGACAATTCGCTGGCCGATATATTTTTGATTCACACTACTTCCTGACCGACGATTCGCTTTTGTGCGAATTGTTAATCGGCAAACAGTTCCGCATCACATCGTAGGCCCCCACACAGGGCAGGCGCTGGAGAATTTCAACGCAGTCTTCGTCGGGTTCCCAGTGACTTTCGCATCCGCCTAACCCGAAAATTCCAAACACTACCACAATACCGTTTAATGGGCGACGCATATTTCCCTTACCGACAACGTAAATCAGCCCGTTCGCGCCAACGCAGGCCGCAGCATTATAGTGTGCCGTTGGCATGGAGGTCAGTGCGCTCCACTCGTTCTTAGCGGGATCGTAGCGGAACGCAATGTCCAACGAGAGCTGCTCGATTGACTTTTTATATGTGCAACCACCAAAAGCGAAAAGACAATCTTGCCAGACGACGCGGGCCATGTCCCAAAAATTAATTCTCTCTTTTGCTAAGAAAAAGGTCCCTGTACGCTGCCAACGCCCCCACTGAAAGTCAAAGCATTCAAGCTGCAGATCGCTGGTAAAAACACAATAGGTTCCGTTCAGGAACGATGACAACAAGTAGCTGAACTCAGTGCCACCTATGGCACGTTTTCTACACGTCAAATTTTTGGAAAGCTAAATCCTGCCTGTTGTTTGCTGAACCCACCGTTGACGCCTGTTGTCCGCCTGTAACCTGCAGTTGTCTTGGGCCTATCTGTCCACGCATTACCCTTCTTCTCTATCGATATCTCCCGTTGTCCTGCTTCGTCCACCCGTTATCTTCCGTTGTCCACCTGTTGTCCTCCGTTGTCCTCCGTTGTCTCGCGTTGTCCATCCGTTGTCCTCCGTTATCCACCCGTTGTCTTGCGTTGTCCACCCGTTGTCCATCCGTTGTCTTGCGTTGTCCATCCGTTGTCCTCCGTTGTTTTGCGTTGTCCACCCGTTGTCCTCCGTTGTCTTGCGTTGTCCACCCGTTGTCCTCCGTTGTCCATCCGTTGTCTTGCGTTGTCCACCCGTTGTCCTCCGTTATCCATCCGTTGTCTTGCGTTGTCCATCCGTTGTCCTCCGTTGTCTTGCGTTGTCCATCCGTTGCCCTCCGTTGTCTTGCGTTGTCCACCCGTTGTCCTCCGTTGTCCATCCGTTGTCTTGCGTTGTCCATCCGTTGTCCTCCGTTGTCCATCCGTTGTCTTGCGTTGCCCATCAGTTGTCCTCCTTTGTCCATCCGTTGTCTTGCGTTGTCCATCCGTTGTCCTGCGTTGTTCATCCGTTGTCCTCCGTAGTCCGTCCGTTGTCCTCCGTTGCCCATCCGTTATCTTGCGTTGTCCATCCGTTGTCCACCCGTTGTCATGCGTTTTCCATCCGTTGTCTTTCGTTGTCCATTCGTTGTCTATTCGTTGTCTTACGTTGTCCATCCGCTGTCTTGCGTTGTCCATCCGTTATCCACCCGTTGTCCACTCGTTGTCCACCGTTGTCCATCCGTGGTCCATACGTTGTCCTCCGTTGTCCACCCGTTTTCTTGCGTTGAGTACTAAAATGTCTTCCACAATTATTTTTTAAGCCGAGATTGGGTTGGAAAATTGCGGCGAAAACAGAGTCTAAGGAGATTAGATGCGAGTATCGTGGTGGATGGGGTCTGGGAAAAGTATCAAAACCAAAAATAAGAAAATCAGTTGCTCTTTGATATGGCATCGGCGACCACAGACATTTAAGTGTTCGGCCTAAGAACGGCAACCTTTGAAACAGAAAAGGTGCGAGGTTATGCGAAGGCCGCATTCGAAACCATGAAAATCGCACCCCACACTCCTGCCACTACAAAACGATATATTAATATCATACCGGGCGCGACCTATTGACCTAGTTTTTTGAGTTTATACGCAACTTTTACTCCTTAATCTAAAAATGTTGGTCCCGAGTGAGGATGATGAAAACTTTTCGAGATATCGAAGCAGAAGCCAAAAACAGCGAAATCCAGAAATTCCACGTTTGTGCACCGTTCCAGCACGACCATACAGGATTAATCAAAGCAGCGTAGTTATACAAAAATCTAGCTTTGGAAGAGCACCAAAAAACCTAATAAACCTAAGAAAACCGAAGGAACCTAAGAAACCTATGAAAACCTAAGAAACCTAAAAAACCTAACAAACCTAAGAAACTAAGAAACCTAAGAATCCTAAGAAAACCTAAGAAACTTTAAAACCTTAGAAACCTAAGAAACCGAAAAAAAAACCTAAAAAACCTAAGAAAACTAAAAAACCTAAGAATAACCGAAGAATAACCTAAGAAACTAAAAAACCTGAGAAACCAAGAAACCTAAGAAAACCTAAAAACCTAAGAAAACCAAAGAAACCTAAGAATCCTAAGAAACTATAATAAACCAAAGAAACGTAAGAAAACCTAAGAAACCCAAGAAACCTAAGAAGCCATAACAAACCTAAGAACCCTAAGAAAACATAAGAAAACCTAAGAAAACAGAAGAAGACCTAAGAAAACCTAAAATGGCCAACACATCAAGTTGCCGAAATGAGCGTTGGCCGAAATGAACCAGTGCAGCCGAAATGTAACGCGGCCAAAGTGATCGGACGCGACAAAATAGGTCTTAAAAGCGTTCGAAAATTAATCATGGTAAGAGAAATGTCACAAGTTATATGTACAGCAACTTAGAAAGCAAATTAAAAAATATTCAACAGTTACTGTATCCCAGTGTATACGGAAAAATCCGTGCGTAGCATACATTTGGATGTAACCCGTGCACGTAGCTAGCTGCCCGGGCGTTCTGGATCTTATGCGGCGCATGACATGAGCGGCGGCCGACAATAATATGACGTTAACCTTAAAACATGTTCGCGGCGTCGATAACGGCATCGCTGACGCTCTATCTCGATTTCAGATGCAGCGTTTTTGGAAGTTAGCCGCTCAAGCATCGCAGCGGCCTACACCGTGTCCGGATATCTTTGGAAGTACGACTGTTCACTGAACCGTTTCCGAAACTTTTCCCTTGTGAACAGCCTAACGCCGCTCCCAGCAGCTCCGGCGACAGTGGCCGCCTTTGTCGCGCAGCTCTTCGACGACAAGGCAGCTTCGACTTTTCGGACATGCAAAGTGTACTTGGCGGCAATACCCAATCACCACCGGGAGGCAGGACTTCCTAACCCGACAGCCAACGACCTGGTGGTACGGGCGGTCAATGGATACAGGCGACTTAATGCCCAGACGCCTGACCGACGTCTACCGGTAACTATGGATGTGATGCGAACGCATAAAACTAGACCGACAGAACTCAAGAACACCAAAGAAGCCGTGATGCTGTGGAGCGTGTTTTGCATGGCTTTCTTCGGGTTTATGAGCGTCAGCGAAGTGGTTAGCAAGACGCGCAGCTCGTTCGATGTGGCTTCCACTTCGCAAAGACCGACCAGCTTGCAGCAGGCATAAAGATCAAGCTCACTGCCCACTCGCCGCTCAGTGTGCCCTGTGCGCGCCATCGGTGCCTACCACCGACAGCCGAAGCTGCAAGGCGGAAAAACACAGCCTTTCTTCCGCTACTCCGATGGCCGCTACCTTACGCGGGAGCGAGTGGGCCGATTCATAAAGTATCTCCTGGGAGGCCACTCTGATTTGCTGCGCTTCATTACCAACAGTTTCCGCATTGGAGCGGCAACCGAAGCTGCCGCCCAAGCACTGCCGAAGGACGAAATTAAGCGAGCCGGACGATGGAAAAGTGATTGCGTGGACCGCTATATCCGGCCGCATGCGCTTACCAATCCGAACTTCTATCGGGAAAAGGGTTGTTTGGGGGAGAACGGACCGGGCACAAGCGAATGTTGCCGGCAGTGAGCATTCTGTACCGCAAGGTAAGACACTCAGCTGTAATTGCGCACTTCCGGCCTTGTCAGCACTCTTCGAACCTCAGTTACCGCACGGAAGTCTGCGATCAAACAGCCCATACCGGATTCCAGGATATGATATTCGCATAGAATTTAATTACTGTACCCGCCCGATAGATTTGCACCACAGTCAGGTCCGGCCGTTGCTTTCCCCTTGCCGGGCATTAAGCACGAGTCATCCTCCCACCGGACGGCGCACACTTTGCTTTTTGATTTTATTATTTTCATATTAAAATTTATTCTGGTAAACCGTTAGGAATCTCACAAATATCATCAGTTTCTAGAATACTGTCACTGAAAAAACTAATTTCCATTTCAGAATCACTTTCTTCCATCACATTCTCTTTATCATCGTCAGAGCTCTGACCGTCATTTTCTTCTTCATTATTTTCTAGAACCTGAGCAGCATAGAAAGATTTACGCACAACATCTGCTGTTACATTTTGCCATGCACGGGAAATCATATCGAGGAAATCCTGACGTCCTGGCTTCTTCAGATATCCAGATTTTGTCACCTCGTGATGCGATGCCCGCCATGACTGATATTCGCTGCGGAAAAAGGCTTTCAATGCCTTATTCACGCTGACATCTAGCGGCTGGTAATCGCCCGTGCGACCTGCAGGGACGAAGATCTGGTCGACATTTCGTTCGCGTAGTAGGAGCTCCGAAGACACTTTCTTATGCACGGTCGCTTGATCTCGAACTAAAACTCTCTTCTGCGTATCATTCGGAAATGTATATTTTATCCAGTCGTTATCCATCTGCTCCGTCCACCATGTAGTGTAACAGCTCTCAACAAAAATATTAGCTGGAATCTTCAACTTTGACAATATGGCTTCGGACAGTTTTCCATTTTTCCCACCCTTAAGCACCACGACAGCGGGATATTTGCCACCATCAGCACGGATCGTAAGAGATACGGTTATCCCTTCCTT